CCAGGGGTGGGGGGAGGGGCCGCTTTCCCCCCTGCACTCAGCACCAGCTCCTTCCCTGCTGGCGAGCAGCGGGTCAGGGCTGTGCGCTACCCCCCGCCTATACTGCAGGGCACTGGGGGTGAGCGGGTACAGGAGCACAGGGCCCGCACCCATGTGCCAGGGCCAGCTCCAGCAGGGCCCAGAGCAAGGCAGCAGGAGTACAGGGTTCCCGCCAGCAGGGGCTCTATGAAGCCAGGCCAGCTCCTCGCTCTCCCTGCTACTGCAGCCCAGCTCCACAGACCCCTGCCAGCCTGCGCCCTGCTCTGGGCTCCACTGGTGCTGGCCCTGGGACATTGGTCCCAAGATGGTGACCAGGGAACAGGGCACCTGCCAAGCGGGGCTACCCATGCCGCCCTCGACAGCTTGCCACAACTTGGTAAGCGGCTCTCTGCCCGAAATAATTGCCTGCCCTTGGTTTAGCTTCTGCTGAAAAAAAAAACTTCCTAATAGGATACTAGGAAACAGTGTTATACTGACCAGGTTTGTCTACTAATTTGTATGTGCCCTGTTTCTGAGTTATAAGATAAGAAAGCTAAACCTGCAGTGTAAGTCCACAAAAAGCCAATTTTATGATAATGAAAAACAAAGATTCCTTCAAAATGGTAAAAATAAAACCAAGCAATACACAGTTTGAATGGAAAAACATGAATCTTGCTTTTAAAATGTTGTTATATGAAATAGAAACAGGAATGAGCACAATGGAAAAACTGGCTTGTGTCTCCTGGCAAGAAAGTTTATTTTTTAAGCAAGTTCTGCTAGTTTTCAGCTTCTACCAGCCTTGATGATTTTTGCAGGGCTTCTTATTACAAGCTACACAGTACAGCTTTTGGTAAAGACAACCTCCTCTTTCCATTCTGAAAACCAGAACATCAGGAGGGTCTTTTTTCCCCTTAAAATAAAAAAGGAAGTGTGGGGGGAGGTATTACTATTTTGCATCTCTTTGTACTACCATTGTGCCTACAATTCCATATACACCTGGTTAAGCCCTATTTATCCGTAAGGTCAAGCCCTGCTTTTCCCATACAGATTGCATTGCAGGTTTGGGCTGCAGAATAAAAATTATCTGTATCCTGGAGAATACACAATGATCTTCTTAGCTGATTGGAATAGGAAGGCTTAGCTTGATAGCAGTGAACTTTTTAAGAATTTTTTTTGCAAAACTCCTCTTCTCTGTAGTGCTGAACATGCGTTTGTTAGTTAATTTTCCCTGCAGAGAAGGAACAAGATGAGTGGCAGTCATTGGTACACTTGTTTTTTTCAATGGCAATTTCCTCCCACTCCCTATAATGACCCGTTGCATTTGTTACATTTTCTTTCTCCTCCAGGGAATAAATGGGTCTTCGATAGTCAGAATGACAGTGAATATTTGTTTCATGGAA